AACATCTAAAAATTACTTTAGTTTTGTACATGAAAATTTAAAAAAAAGGAAAAAAGAAAAATATGTAGAATATTTTTTGGGTTACTCTGGATTCTAAAAATAGATTTGCTTCTTAAGAATGAAAGGGGTGTGTACTTTCTTACAATGTACTGGCTCATATTATTCTTACTAAGAAAGTGTTAAGCCTTACCAATTATAGATAATAATATTTTGAAATTATTAGATTTCAAAAAAAACAAAGTTCATCCAAGCTGGGTGGCACCGGAATTAACACACATTTGGGAAACAGGCCATCACAGTTGTACCCAGAGACACTCTTAAGAAGCTCAGAGGAGGAGATGAGACACTCTTAAGATCAGAGGAGGAGATGAAACAATTTGAGCTTCATAGAAACTTCTCATGACTAAATACTGATGCCAAGACGACTTCTGAGGAAAAGTGGATGGATCATGAAATTATGAAAGAATGAAGTCATCCAACTTCTGGACTTCAAAAAAGAGGACTGAAGAGTAAGCTTTTCTATGAAGTAAAAAAAATTAAAAAAAAACCCCAACCCACACCACACAAACCTACCATGGCAATGATGCAAGTGAACACCTAATTTCTGGAGTTCTCACAGACCTGCTGTGCTTCACTTTGTCCTGGAGAAAGTTTTCTAGCCCATACAGTTGCTTTCATAGTAAGGAAGGATAATAAGTAGAAACAATAACTTTGTGTCCACTTGCACACATCTTTTTTTTTTCAATAACTCATTTTCTGTTCTAAATACTTTTCTAATAACTTTTCAACCTTTCTTTCTAAGTATTACAGTCCCATCAGCATTAAACACACATTTGCTTAGTTTTAAAGGTCATTCAATAGTCGCACACCAATCTTCAAACGTAAAGCAGAGCTTGAAAACTGATCTGAAATGTATTTCCTCAGATGACATTTGGGTAGAAATCCTATGCAAGACTTAACTTATTTTTTTAATACCAGACACACCCTTCTAATTTCTTAGAGGTAGTTAGATATTTTACACACACAAGGAACTTTCCTTGCTGCTGGCAAATAACATAAATCTTAGTTACTGGCTGTACTGAAAATACAACCAAAGGAAATACCTAACATGCTGCATGGAGTACATGTTCATAAGCCAAAACTATGGAAACCTGCAAATCTTTCTATCCTAGGCAGGCAGCATTAATTTCAGATTTGATCACCCTGCTGTGTATCAGGATCACTGATAAGTAGATGCAGAATAACTGCATTAACAGAAATCTGACAGTTACAATGCTGTAAGAATCAAATTTTCTGTACATGGCTCGTTACCAGGCCAGGACTACACTCATCATTCCAAAAAAATCTGCCACAAACTGGAACGTAACAGCTGCATCCGTCTTAGCCGAAACATAAGACAGCAGAATATGAGTCTCTTTCAGATAACACATGATACCTGCTCAAGTAAAATTACATGCATAGTGTTAATGAAGGACCTCAGTTTTCCTATTAATGATGGGATTTAGTTGTTTCATAAGGGTTAACAACAAAAGGTGAATGCTAGAAGCTAGGTAGAAGATGGCTTTAAATAAGAATATTTTCATACAGATAGAATATTGCCAAGATGTGAAAACAGTTCTCTTTCAGAAACAGTACAATGTAAGAAATGCAAAGAAACATGCTGGATACTGATAGACGGCTACCAAGCATTTAAGCACAAGGGCCAACCATGTGCTTTGGTTTTACATGGAATAAAAGGTTCCTCTGTCCCCTCAGGAAAACTCATAGTGGAAAAAGGTAAGCAGGAAATTAATGTCTTGCAGGACTGGAATTTTAAGAATAAAATCAATATGGAAGTAAGAAAACAAGGAACCAGGGACTAATATGTTTAAAAAATAAACATAAAACCCCCAGATTACTGAAGAAATAGTAACAGATCAGGGAACTGAATTAGATTTATCAACCCAGAAGCTAATTATAAAATATCAAAACTTGTGAAACTTTTCTTTTAGGTATTTGAAGAACACGCATTGCCATACTACCATAAAGTCGGTAAAATTCAATGCTTCTATGTCCCAAAGCTGAAGATTTAAGGGAGTGCTTAATTTCTGCCCAGAATAATTTAAGACAGATTTACAGCAGGTAGTGTGGCCTTAAGTCTCCATAGCTGTGAGGTTTCAACAATATGAAAAACACCTGAAGTGAGAAATTAGACTCATGGAGCCAAATAATAGCATAGTATGCTTGTATTAAAATAATATTTTATTGGATGGGGAAGTAAGCCACAGAAAATATACAGCATCCTTTATTTGACTCAGGTTTTGGTTTTGGTTTTTTTAATTATTATTTCATTTTTCAATTCCTGAATATTTCAAGCATTAAAGATTGGGAAAAAGACAAAATTCTTATGTTTATTAGTTTTAAGTTTAGTAGGTAATGGTGACTGTTGTCTGTTACCATTTAAAATAAGACTGAAGCATACCCCCAAAAGAAAAATAATTAAGTGTCCCCTCAGGATGATGACCTTTAGAATGAAATGTGTTGGTTTCAACTGAAAAGACTTAAAAGTTGTGTATTTTCAGCAGCAAGTATGTTGCTATGAGGAAAGAAGAAGGGCATTGAATGAGTTGCCTTTTTGTTTTCTAGTCAACCCATATTTAAAGATTTAAATAGTTTAAGTACTTTTTGAATATATTTTAAATATATCAAGGACAGTCTATTTAAGTGCCTTTATTATGAAAAACATAAGTCTATTCCCTCTTCAGCTGTAACCAAATGGACCACCTTTGTCTCACCTTACTACAAATCAGGTTTACTTCCTGGGTACTGGTCTTTCTTAATGTCCAGAGAAATTATCTGTATTTGGAGACCATGGTTATATCAGAAAATCCAAAAGGACTACCAGCTACTAAGTTATAGGAATACTTCCCATTTTTACACAAGATACTGTTCAAATTGAAGAACGAAAAGTGTTGTAACAGAATGTTGTGTTTCCTAAAAATATTTGGATTCAGGTAAGCAATCAGTCCCAAAGAATGCTTACAAATTTTGCCCACCGCTGTAAACATGATTTCTGTTGTAACACTCATTTTCTTCAGACTCAAACTAGTGAAAAATCCAACATTTTAGTATATACTGAAAAGGAAGATAATCCAACTGCTACTAAATCAATGACATCCAATTGACCTTGAAGATTTTTCCATATAAAACCAGTCTTTCCAAATATTTCTTTTGCAGTCAATTACCACAGAACAGTTCTCCAGTGAAAGATGTTGCTGCTCAGTTTCTTTCAATCTCTCATTGTTTATAACAGCAGCTATGGTTATCTACATTCTGAGGTCACTTTAAGTGGACTGAAATGTATCATGATAGTAAGAGCTGTACTGTGTCAGATACTCCAGAATTGTATCCCTTATCCAAGGAAATATCAGATGTTCACAAAAAAGCCCAAAGAAGAACCGACTGTAAGTTATAGACTTGCAAAGGTATTTTCTGTCTTTCAGTAGCAAAACTCAGCTGAGTACTGAGGTATGAGAATCTGCCCATGCTGAAAGATATTTTTGTTCTTACACAGAATCATAGAATGGTCTGGGTTGGAAGGGACCTTAAAGATCATCTAGTTCAACCCCCCTGCCATGGGCAGGGACACCTTCCACTGAACCAGGTTGCCAAAAGCCTCGTCCAACCTGGCCTTGAACACTTCCAGGGATGGGGCATCCACAGCTTCTCTGGGCAACCTGTTCCAGTGCCTCACCACGCTCTCAATGAAGAACCTCCTCCTGATACCCGATCTAAACCTCCTCACTTTCAGTTTAAATCCATTACCCCTTGTCCTGTTACTACAGGCCCTTCCAAAAAGTCCCCTCCCAGCTTCCTTGTAGGCCCCTTCAGATACTGGAAAGCTTCAATGAGGTCTCCTCAGAGCCTCCTCTTCTCCAGGCTGAACAAGCCCAACTCTCTCAGCCTTTCATCATAGCAGAGGTGCTCCAGCCCTCTGATCATCTTCATGGCCTACTCTGGACTCACTCCAACTGGTTGATAGCTTTCTTACATTACATCCCGACCTGGACGCAGTACTCCAGGTGGAGGTCTTACCAGACCAGAGCGGGAGAATCCCCTCCCTCAAGCTGCTGGCCATGGTTCTCCACATACAGCCCAGGATACAGTTGGCTTTCTGGGCTGCCAGCGCACACTGCCGGCTCATGTTCAGATTTTCATCCACCAGTACCCCCAAGTCATTCTTCTCAGGGATCCACTCTCCACCCAGCTCTAGATCCACTCTCCACCCAGCCTGTACTTGTGCTTGGGATTGCCCCAACCCAGGTGCAGGACCTTGCATTTGGCCTTGTTGAACTTCATGAGGTTGGCAGTGGCCCACCTCTCCAGCCTGTCACGGTCCCTCTGGCTGGCATCCCTTCCCGCACATTGCCAGGTCACGTTGAGCTTCTCTTCAATCCACACCTCTATGAAAATCTGTTTCTCAAATCCTGTACCCTATTCTGCTTACTGTGTGCTTCCCTTCCTTAAATGCACAGGAAATCTTGAGTATGTTCCTAGAATTTTAAAATATTTAAGATTGTCTTCTTGTTTATGAACAAATTGCTTATGACAAAAAAAAAAAAAAGGAAGAAACAAAACCTTTTGCAGAGAGCTGGGCTTTTTTTTTTTTTTACCCCTTCCCTCCAGCAATATATGGCAACATCTGATGTCTCCCTGCTGGACAATGATGTGTTAGGACTTGTCTGCTACCCTGAAACTGGCAGGTAGAAAAACTGAGGTGCAATTAAAAAAAAAGATATATATGAATACATGCTTTCAAATTCTTTCAGTTTTGTATACTGCATGAACAGGCAATTACTTCTTTAAAGCCAACAGACTGAGTATAAAGCCCTTCTGGACAACTCTGCTTTCTTGTTAAGAAAACATCGTTTGGCTTTTGCTTACTATTAGGCTGATCATACAACAAATCGTTAACAGAAGGATATTCTCATTTTGCATAATCAAAGAGTAGACACTTCAAGTTTCAGATGTTTATTAAGCCTCATCAAAACATTTTCAAACACATGACCAAGTGCAGCATGAGGCAAGTTTGATTATTTCCTGGATGATTAAGCATGACAATTGTGCGGACGGCTTCCGGAAGACCTCTCTGTGCTGCTTATGGAGATGAATATATTGTTCAGAAGTCAGGACGGTCCTTTTTCAGCCTACTGTAGTCTACATTAACCGAATAGAACTAGGAAAGAGAGAGGGGAAAAAAAATGAGTAAGAAGCTAGACTATCCATTTTCCACAGTATTTACTAAAACACATGCCTCACTTGAACCCACATCGGAAAACTGAAATCATAGTTTGAGTCTGTACCCTAGAAAACAAATTAAAAAAAAAAACCAAAACCACACTCTGAAGAGCAGTAACTTATGTCATCTTCATTCTGCGTACAGTATTAAAAGCTCTGCAGTTAAAATGAGGCAGCGCTCATGACTACGATGAGAAAAAACAAACAGTATCTCTTCTTTAATCCCCAGAATTAAAAGTCCATTTACAGAAGCGTTCACAGCACTGCAGAGTTCATCCTTTTTGCCCAAAATCTATGCATACGAAAGGTAACACCAAGCTTGCCAACTGGCACCAGGCATGGTGTATATGGTCAGACAGTATCACAAGGAAAGTGCTGCCGAAGCCAAGTTTAAGTAGCTGCATCTAGAATTTCAAGGTATGAAAAGGAGGAAGGGAACTAAGAACAGATTCTTTCACACAGTTTTTATTAATGACATCAGATCCTACAACAAGCAATTCAGAACTGCCCAAATGCTCACTAAGCACAATGAATTTACAGACTAAAAGCATACTTTGGCATCCCAGCCTGACTTGACAGCAAGCGTGTGATGCTACAGTTTTACTTTACAAAAAAAAAAAAAAAAAAAAAAATTAAAAAAAAATCTATTAGCTTTATTATTTTTAGTTATGCCCCCCCCCCTTTTTTTTTTTTAACTTCCTCAGAGAAAACAAAACAGCCTACAGCACATTCAAGTAACAGCTCTCTGTGCAACTCCTACAGTAATGATCTAGTCTTCAACTCTTTTCTTTGGGATGGCCAAGGAAGTTGATATGACAAAGAGTTTACAAAGAAAAATGATTCCATCAAAAGCTAAAGCTTGTTTTACCAGAGCTTTTTACTAAACAGTCATCCTCAGTTTAGAATAGTTGCCTTCGCATTTCCCACACTGGGGATTTTTTTCCAGATCTGCAATGATACACACACCCAAATATGGTAAACCCTGAGGCCTAGACAGAAGGGGAATGCTAAACAAGGCAAGCAGCCTTCAAAAGAATTTGTGCTGCGCTCTATGTTGAACTTGCCTCTTTTAGATATTTAAGAGACAGCAACATGCCAAAAGCAGCAATGAAAACAAAGTATTAAGTTCTTCCTGGACCTTTAAGGGAATCTCAATGTGTTTTATTCTGGAGTGTGGGGGGCTTTTTTGCTTATTTCAATGATTGGAATAGTAAGATATGGTACTGAACAGACATGAGCTTTGAAAACATAGCTTGAAAATATGCCTTAAAATATTCCTAACAGGAATCTACTACAATACCACTTCAGTAAAACATGATAAAAACATGATTTCTGTAAACTACCAAATGTTTTACAGATCTTTGCATACTTCCTCATTAGTTCAATGAAATAACTGGAATATTACTTAAAGAACATTTCTATTGCATCCAGTTACTTACAGACTGTTTTGTTTCCAAACAATCAACTGCAGAACTGAGTTAGTGTTTATGTTAAGCACTGACTTTTTCTTGCTTTTATTCTGTTGATTACAGGCCAACAGTTCAGAGCTTAGAAACTTAGTTCAGAACTTAAGGTTTTGTCCTTCTCCCTCTGGTTTATTTCTGAGTATTAGGAGGTGGTATATTCTTCCTCTTGCATGTAATTCCTCTTTTTCCTTACAGTGCAAAATATATGACTGGTCCTGTATAGACTCTTTTCACCCCATTACCAACCAGCTCTAGGAAAGTTTTACATCTCAAACTCAGGTCTCTCAGCTCCATGTTCTAGAGACAAACAAACGCTGCACAGCAGAGAAATACTCATTCAGCTACTTCCCAGTATATTCAAACATCTTAAAGCAGTAGGCTACATCTCTGGTATTGTTTCCTAAAAATCTGTATTTTTCATTTTACCTTGTACTGGTCACTGGGAGACAATTTGTTCCAAGGTTCTGGATTATTTTTCTTGTCCCAGCTATTAAGAAAAATGCAAGATATGAAAACATATTAAGAGAATCATACTACATTCAAAATAAATTCATATGTGTACTGTGGCTATTAGACCATGGAGAGTCACCCATCCAAGTAAGTTTCCACAGAGAAAGACACAATCCTTTGCTAGCAGCCTTGAAACATCACATGGTAAACAAACAAATCTCTAGAAGAAGGAAATCTCCAGACCTAGTGCCAGTGATATTAGAGCAAGACATTAAGGCCTACAGAAACATAAAGACCAGGCAGTGAAGTTTAAATTAACATATGCAGCAAGAGAACTGGGTGCTGTGAATTACTTTATACATACCAGACATCAGGGTTGAACACTGCTAAACGCATGAGATACAGGGCTGCGCCAACGCCTCCAGATCCAATTATCAAAAACAGAGGGATCAACTAAAACAACAACAAAAAAATAATGTCAGACCACAATACAACAAAATAGTATTACTACATAGCATTTCTGACAACAGCAATGACAAACCAAAGAACAAGCTCACACACACTAAGCCATAACGCTTGGCCCTCTAAACCCCGATGTAAGCTCTGAGTGTACAGGACATCCCTGGGGTCTGAGAGGAACTAGTAGCTGCACAGAAGAGACGTGAAAAGAATAGCGGAACAACCAAAGGTCCCTTCAAAAGCACGTTTCCGAGAAACAAACATCAGTCCCTCCAGTGCCAAAAACAGCTCTTACCATCTGCAATCCTGATCTTAAATAAGGAAATGGAAAGGAGCCTGCGTAAGGAAAGCGACCAGCAAGAAGAAAAGTCACCTTTAACCTTGCTGCTGCAGCATAAGAAAGACACGTACTAGACGAAAAAGGGGAATCGACAGGGCCTCGCCGATCAGCCCTGAGCTACCCACGCGCCGTCACCCCCGGCCTACCCCAGGGGCCAGGCATGCAGAGATAAGAAGGAAGAGCAAGGAGGGGGGCTACCGGCGGGCCGGGGCAC